CGTTTGTCTAGAAATTAAAAATGAAATTCAACTGATATACTATTTGGGAAGATAGGACTTCGTCTCAGGACATCTTAGTGAAAAGCATTGGACTTGAACTTCATCTCAGGATACCTTAGAGAAAAGCATTGGACTTGAACTTCATCTCCCAATTAAACTAAAACTTAACAAAGGACACATATTTTAAAACCTTAATTATAAATTCAGGATTAATCAGATTAGGCAGCACTGTTTTAATAGCATACATCAAATTTGGCAATATACAAGTTCAACCCTTAGTATTTGTAATCTCAAAAATTATTTCCGAATAATTATATATGACAAATATTTACAAAAAACCGCAGATGAAGAGTATTTGGCAATACTCGTAACACCTGTATGGTTAGTCAAAAATTCAATTAATTTTAATTTAAAAAAGTTTATGTTGTTGCAATTTATTACTGCTTAAAAACTTTTATAGTAAAAAATAGTTTGTATTATAGTAAGGGAATAGTTTCTTCTATCACAATTGATTTTAAAATTCATTTATATATGACAGATAAATTTGTCATCCACGCCACCAAGTGCACAACATGGAGTCAGTAGGGTTCTAAAACAACACCCTTTGGATAACTATTTTCCACAAAAGTTTTTATCAGTGATGAAGTTCATTTTTAACTAAGTGGACATATCAACAAACAATATTGTTGCATTCAAGACCTTGTAAACTCAAAAGTTGCTGTTCAAAGACCATTGCATCCATCTAGAATCACTTTGTGGTGCGATATTTTGTCTGAAGGTGTGCGATAAGCCCGTACACTTCTGATTGTTACAAGTAAATTGAACAAAAGTCAAAGTACCATTTAAAAGTAACTACGAAGAGAAATACAAACTAGCACAAAAAAATGCACCCATGAGTAAAAATATCTGAATAATCTCTGTATATAAAAATTTTTAATGTTAAAATTTTTGTACGGGTGTTTAAAAGTGGGTCGTTGAGGCTTAGCAGAAGTTTGCGTTTCATTATGTACAAAGTGATGATTATTTCTCAGTTATATACATATTGTAAATAGCAATACTATTGGTGGTCATTTTAGTAAGAAAGAACACGTTTTCGATTTCTTGATCACGTACATTTGATGGATTTTAGTGAAAATAGCTAACTTAAGCAAATTTCTTCACTGTTTTATATATCAATATAGCTTACTTTTCGAGATAATGAACTTTATTGTTCAAAATTTTAACTTGCTATTATCCAAAAGAATGGCGTATATACTCAGAAAAATATGCTTTAACCAAAAACTAGTTAAATTGACTTAACATACCAACATTTGGTATGGTTGAATCAACATGATGCGTCGAGTAAGAATATTTTGACCTGAGATTTAGTTAAAATTTGGTTAAATTAACTAAATTATTTTTCTGAGTGTATTAGTTGGCGTATATTAGTTGGAGTTAAAAAACATGTGCAGTTTCACAAACTAACAATTTTTAACTTTGACATCTCGAGAAGTAAACTATAGTTTCAATAGCTAAACCCACTGAAATTTATAATCTATTCGGTGTGCACAGGAAATAAGAATTGCAAATAGTTTACAACCTTTCACTTAATATCTCGAGACGTAAGCTATAGTGGCACATCTTCTTCTTCTTTTTAGTGTCCGTTTCCGCAAGTGGGACATAGAGTCGCAACGATTCCCTTAAACCGCACTCTGTTAGGTGCTTCTTTGCCTATATCGTTCCTTGTGTATTACGCTTCTGTTATTTCGCTTTCAATGGTTCTTCTCTAAGTTAAAGCCGGTGCACCAGGGCGTTTGCTGCCTTGTGAGTTCCATGACAAAGGAAAATATTGTTCAGAATACCTGAATCAACTGAAATCTATTACAAAATCTGAGTATTGGGCATCTCAGAATCGTGTCTAATTATATTTTCTTTCTAGATAAACACAAAACGCGATTAACATTGCTAATTAATATTATTGTTGTAACTCTAATGAAGCAAAATTTCGAAATCTGTTGAAATGTTCATATTTCATCAAATTAAATTTTTGGAAATTAAATACATTCTATTTGAGTAAGAAACGAAATGGAAATCTACTACTTTTTTGATTGTTCTCTCAGTTGCAGTTGCAGGATCTACTGAAGTAGCTTTCCTTACATTTTACCACCAAAGTTTTGCTACACTTAAAAAGTCGTGAGAAGGAAAGAAAATAGAAATAAAATGAAATATTTTGTTGCATATTCTCGGCATGTGGGAGGGAGAATATATTATACCAAGTGCACACACACAAAAGAAAATGCAAAATATTGCAACCCACTAAACTATGGAGCATTTATAGGCAGACCCGTGGCAACACTGACTTCTTCGGCAAATTAACTGAATTTCTTTACCTTACGACGCTTTATTCTACATTTACTAGATGCTTGGCGCTTAGTAGTGGTAGTGGTAGTGGTAGTTGCTTTTGTTGTTGTTTTTGTTTTAATACATTGCTAAACGGATAACATTACCTTAACTTACATAAAATAAAAATAAAAGTAAAAATAAGAGTAAAAAAAGTACAAACTCCAGGTTGGTTGGAAATTTTTGGGTTGGTATGTTTAGTAATGGAAGAGTATAAAACGGAAGTCAAAGTTGTAGCAGGCAGAGGAGGGCAAGCTAGTAAAAAGGTAGGAGCCTGCCTTAAAATGAATGAGTTTGAAACAAGTCAACTTGTAGAAAATGTTCTTTGCACATTAATTAATTAAAAAAAAAAAACAAAAAAGTTGTGAAAAAGTTAAAAGATGATGATGAAGTTAAGGGGTGGTGTGCGGTTTGAATAAAATATTAAAAAAAAGCCGAAAGGAAAACAATGTACAAAAGGTAGTATAGTATGGCTTAAATGCAACGAATGTGAGCGAAGACATTGCGAAGGGTTAAAAAGTATATTAAAAAAGTTGGCGAAACTGAGTAAGAATTGTACTTGGACAAACAATTTGACGGACATTAAGGGAAGAATTTTAATAGAACAGTCCTTAACGGAAGTGGGCAGCATACGCAAAGGCAATGAGGTGAGGCGCAATGGACACAGAATGCAGTTAATTAATAACAAAAGAAACAAAATAAAATGAGAAAAAATCAAATAAATCAAACATGAAAAGGGCCAAATCCAACTCAACGCAACTTAAGTTAACTCTCTGAAGTGCGTTTTTAATGGACCAAATGCAGACTCCACGAACCAGCAATATTTACTTTGTAGTCTGAGGCATGAACGAACCTAAACAAGCCAGTGCTATGCTATGTAGAGCGTTTTATTCAAGTTAAAAGCATTGCAATGAAATGCAGTTTTGCAATGTGCACCAGTTACGCAGCAGGATATGCAATTTAATGCAGTTTGGCAAGTGATATTGAGACAAATATTTCGTGTTTTAAACTTTTTACTTAATTTTTATGAGCATTTAGATATTTAAATGTGTAGGATTAAAAACATACAATATATAAATATATATATATATACATACATATTTAAAAAAAAAGAATTAATTTTAAATGAATTCAAAAATTAATACAGCTCTCCAGAACTTCTAGCAAAAGATATGTTACAAATAATTATGTCAAGATTTCGTTTAAATACCTTAATCTTAAGTATCTTAAGGTGGAACTATATTTATATATGTATATATATGTAATTTTTATGGTAATATAAATAATAAATCAATAAGTAAGGTACGTTAAACACTTCACCATATCAGTTCACTTAAACATAATTTTTTTTATTTTCAATTTTGGTTCAGATTGCTCAAGTATGAGTCAGTATCCCATATACACAATTTGCACTCAGTAATCCAGACACTTAAGAATTCAGAAAACGTGGTAGTTCCTACATTGCTTTTACCTAGGTTCATTGCATTATTTCTTATCCGAAGAAAGCAAAAAAGTTTTTCTTTTAAAAAAGTTTTTATTTATATATTATAGTACGTATATATACGAACACTTTTAAAAAACTTATGCTTACTTTAGTAATTAAAGTAGTATTTCTATTAAATTTAATTTTGAAATAAATTTTATATATGAAAAAAAAATTGTATTGTATAAATTGTTTTGTACAGACACAACAAATATATAATTTGTTGACTATATAACATATAATTTATAGTTATAAGACGATAAGAAATTGTATACAAATAAATAGGGATAGAAATGAAAGGATGGAATAGAAATAAAGGACAACAACAAAAATTTTAGTTAATTTATTGAAATTTGGTTGACTCTACAACGCTATTTCGAGTATTGCCAAGTACTTATCTTCAGTGGTCCTAGGAAATATACAGATTTTTTTAGTTAGTTTATAGTCTGTACATAATTTGTTTGGACTGCAAGTGCCAGACCTGCAATTCGTGCCTGTCAAATTAGAAGTGATGATTAATCGTGTTTTTTCACAAGTAGCCAAGGCTGCACAAACCAAGACGGGTTAATTTATTATTGTAGTTATATTATAAAAGTTGTCTTAACATACATATCTATCAACTAAAAGTGATGATAATAACAAAATAAATGAAGTTAGTTATAACTGTTAGTTGTATGTAGGTGTATGCTATCTAGAACGAAACCAACCTGAGTGATATTTTATAATAATGTTAATCAAATATATAATTTTAATAAAGAATTACAATTATCTAATTAAAATTGCAGTCCTAGATTTCAGTCAATTGATTCCGGTTAAACGACCGTATTTGAGATCTGTTCATTAAAAATCTATTAGTAAAATTTGCTTAGTTTCATTTAAAAATTGAGAGCATAGTTTTAGTATTTAATTAAATTAATTCCTTTTACCAGGTTGTTGAAAATGTTTTATACTTGAAAATGTCTGCAATTTTTCTTTAAGTGCATTGCAAATATCTTAACCGTCTAAAAATATAACTTTGTGTAAACTATATAGCTATTATAATATAAACAGAATGATGCCCTATAATTCGAAAAATTTAGTTAATAATATTAATGTATTTATTTATATAGTAATACTTTATATACAGTTTTATATACAATATTATTCACAATTCACAATATTTTCGTTAGCGACGCCTAGGTATCATGTTTCCCACCTTTATAATATTAGTGTTATTAGTATTTTACATTTCTGTAGTAGTTTATTTTGGTTCTGCGGAGAGACTTACTTTTGGATCAGAAGGGGGAGTATCGGGAGCGGGAGCGGGAGGAGCGGGAGCGGGAGGCGCAGAAGTGGGAGGCGCAGAAGGACCAGAAGATGCAGGTTTGGACTCATCCTGGTTACCTGATTCATCTGAACCGTCTCCATGTTGAGATTTTAGGGAGTCAATTTTAATATGGAAATGAATCGCTGACTCTCCATTATGATCGACATCTTGAAAAATATTCTTAGCCCATAATAAGCATCTCACCAAAATTTTTTTATTACGAGTCACATTAGTAAATTTTAGAGCTACAACACGATCAAAATCTAGTTTGCCATAAAATTTATATGTGCCAGAATGTCTTTGAGTCTCTTTATCGTACTGAATTTTTTTGTCAACATAAATCTTTTCCGAATCATACGAATTCGTTGGTATAAATTTCATATCAAGGTTTTCAGCATCACAGGTTATCCAGATTTTATTTTTATTTTCATTCGGACTTTTTCCTTTTGCAGAATTTGCAGTTATTTGCGCTCTTAAAGAATCAGGAGCAAAATAAGGTAAATCGGCAGCATCATCGTAAGTTTTCGCTTTAAAACCAATCGCACGATTAATTTTAAGAAATACACATGGTTCATTGTCATTATATCCAAAGCCGATTTTCGCTTCACAGCCCGCATATCGATTTCCTTCTTCTGCATCAAATTTTGCAAAAAATTTCTTTATTTCTGTGATGTAGGGGAGCATTTCTTTATGATAATTTTCTCTAAATTCTATATTAGGAGAATTCTGATCCTTTAGGCGAGGGTAAAAACTGAATCCAGGTTCTTCCATGGCTCTTCTTGGTGTTAATTCTTCTATTGTTAATGAGTATATTAGATAGCATAAAAGCCAAAAAAGGGCCAGACATATAAAAAATATTATATAGAATATGATTATACTGAGCCAATTGAGAGGTGTGCGTGTTAGTACAGTTCCCTCTCGCAAATCGAGTAATAGTTTCGTTTCTCTGGTTTTTTGATTTGCTTCATACTCTTCTTCTTGTCTAAAACGCTTTCTGAGTGAGTACGGAGAATTATTTAATGCTATAGCCATTATCTGTAAATAATAGCATTTGTCTCATTAATGTTAATAGGCTTCTATTTTTCTTAACTTTCTGATTGTACACAAGATCGTCTTTAATTTGAAATTATTAATTATAAAATTTTGAAAAGAAAATAATTGGTAGATATGACCAATTTTTAATAAATTAATATAAATTAATAAAAATAAATTTTTAATGTGATAAGTTTTGACAAGTAAAAATAATTATTCAATAATTTAAATTACTTCTCAAAGTTTTCAAATTATGAAAATCTTTTTATTTTACATTTCTTGAACTAATTTCGGTAACGATCAATTAGCCGTTAAAAGTATAGAATATAAACACGAAATTATACGGATTTAATTTTCATATTGAATTGTAAACAGAGGATATCATACATGTTTCCTGCTACCGAAAAACTAAATATTATTGGTATTTTGTTATTTTATATATCCCTATTCCAATTATCCCTATAATTCCAATTATAGGCTTTTATTTTTAGTTTTTAAGAACTATTGATGTTGATTAAAATTAAAAGCATTACAACTACTCAAAGCCCTTCGTTAAGTCTATTATAAAAATTTTATCGGAATTTATTTTTAATTTAATTAAATAAATGCAAAATTGTTTATATATATCTATATATCGAAATCCTCAAATTTATATCTTTTATATTTTAAAATATAAGAAATATTTCGTTGTTCAAATTTACTGTTCTTAATAGAGTTCGCAATTAGAATACGTTTTACCATAATATGTGAACTATATTGTTCTGGTGTTTCGATTTTTTTTATCCCTTATCAGTTTCACAAGAGTTAACATACAGCAATGTGCTCCAAAGCCTAAAACTTCTCCAATCTTTTTGCAGACTGACTATTGTATAGCAGATTACCAACTAACTCGTTGGCATGTCAGTTTAATATTGCTATGCCCCTATAGTCGGATTTTTGAACTTTCGTTCTCATAAATGGAATTTGTATTTCCCTGTGAATACCAGTTTGATATATACCATGGATCTGTTCTGTATTAGAAGTACTTGCTGTGCTCCAAAGTTTTATATCATGTATCCAGTCTGGTTTAAGCATAACTTTGTAAAACAGAGACCTGGCTCTTTTTAAATTTAACTCAAGTAGCTATTGGTTGTTACTACTACTTGTTCTTTTTAGACGTTTTCAGGTGTGCCTGCGAGCGGTTCAAAAGTATCTGCAGCTATTGACAGCCCAAGAAGCTTTCAGAAGCTTCAGAGATATTTTTAGACATGCCTGTAGTTCAAAATTATCTCCAGCTATTAACAGTCCAAGAAGCTTTTAGTTCCAACTGCTTATTCTTTTCAGCTATTTTCAGGCATGTCTGCCATTCAAAAATATCCCTAGCTATTTCCAGCTCAACGAACTTTCAGTTGTAGCTCTTCGTTCTTTTCAGTCTCTCAAGTATGTTATGCCTGCATTATAAAAGTATCTCCAGCTATTTTGAAGACTCATATTGCGGGATTGTTTGAGGCAATGAACATAAACATTGTGTATAATAATCAACGTAAAAGAAGAAATAACATTAAACGTTGATATCTGCAGAACCAAGCTATACTGAAATATAGCTTTATCGACTTATCTTAAATCAAATTAAAATTCGGGAAGCTCCAAAGATTGAAATCGTGCCAAAATTATTGATTAATAAAGTATAACTTTTTTCTTTTATAAAAATAATGACACTTTTACAATTCATATTTACAATATTGAGAATTGTGCTATACTTTTCATTCTCATAATTACTTCAAAAGTGAGTAAAAGTATAAATTTCGTGGAAATTAAAAACCACAAAAGTATTAGTGAACTAGTGAACTTTTTTTATTGTCTAAATTTATTTTTCTTTTAAAAGAAATTTCTAATATTCATAAAGTTGAGTGGAATTTGTGCATACAAGTCAAATTTACAAATTAGACAAAAGTAGCAATAAGAGTATCTGAAACACTGGGGTAGGGGCAGACGCAGTAATGTTTACGAAAAATGCATTTTAGGTTGGATTAACTTGGCTTAGTTGCATTTGGTATTGTATCAGTATGTAAAGTGTATCTGCTGTGCAACTTGTAATCGGGATTCAGATGGAATTCACAGCATCACACATGCGATAATACATTTGCCGTTTATTAGCGAAGATTTCAACAGCACAACAGTAATAATGATAAAATAAGTGATATCAGTAGTGAAGGCAAATTATTTATTATTACGAAATAAGCACAACATTTCGTTAGTGAAAAAAGCCTACTAAGCGTAAATAGATATTTGTTTCTTTTTATATCAGAATTAGTGCATTAGCAGTTGAGTTCTGGCATATCGAGGCAAACTGAAGCAATTAAGCAGGGTGCAGTTTGAAATAACATTCCGATCAACTCTTGAAACTGATAAATTGATTCAAATATCTATGCTTGTTTTATTCTATATATATAGATAGATATATAGATAGATATATAGATAGAGAGTCTATCAAATATCTATAAGTTTTATGGTTCCTAGAGTTTATAAAAAAATTATAGTTCATCTTAGATTAGAATATTTATCTAATATTAAGATCTATTTTAAAATAATTTAAAATAAATTAAATAAATCAATCGTCTTCGTTTATGTTAGATGGTGCTGAGATTTTTTTCTCATTTATATAGAGCGGTAATATCATAAAAGATTAATACTCATAATTAGTGAAATATTCAGTGAAATATTGTATACTCTTGCTTTTAATAGAGAAAGTCTTTCACCTATAAAACGTCGATAATGTAATCGAATATGTCTTAAATTAGGATAGTATTTGTCATATATTCTGTTGCTACTATATACATATCTACCACCACTTTACTTAATTTTGATTCTGTTTTTTAATGGTCTTAGTGAACTACTAGTTCTTTCAGTGCGAAAACTTTTCGATTAACTCAAGAGGGATATATAGAAAGTTTTACAATAGTATTATAAATAGAGCCCATAATTCGGTATTGTTATTGCGATAAAAGTAACATATGCACTGTATATGTGATAAAAGTTATATCTTATAAATCTATTTTTATGGAAATAGCAGAACTCTTGCAGTTGCTAATGCTATATCTCTACGAATGTAACGTTATTTCTTGCTATAATGAGGCTACATTCATCTCAGGAGGAGATCACGTATAACTTGTAGCTCCTCAATAATTTACCTTTATTATATTGAAAACTATTAATCAATATATTAGTTGTATTTATATATGATTTCGTGATTGAAACTTGAAACATTCTTCTATGCAATCCATGATATTTGAAGTAAAGTCTCTCGGAGACTACTTATGACTAATAGTTTCCTAATATTTAACATCTGAATTTTGAAAATCTGGATTTTTAACGATTTTAAATGATTTATGATTTTGTTAATGCTATCTTATAATGATTTTGTGTACCCTGTATTATGTGCTACTTACTCAGCATCAAATGCAGTTGCGATAATATAACGAAAATCATAAATAAGTACGCCGCGCTTGCAATTCTTTTTAATTGAAAACTTTTGTAATATTTTTTTCTAATTTCAACAGATTTTGTGGCTGCAACAGAGTTTGTAGCATGAGTCGCATAGTCTTCCGTATATCCATCTACAATTACATATCTATACGAATGCGTTTACTACTCGAAACTGCATACGTTGAATTCGCCCAGATGTTGCGCCTACTAGCTGCCTATAATTTATAGATACCAATGTGTATCAGCTTAGCTGGTTGCCTCTTTGCCATATGAGATTAAGTATAACGCCGCGTAGACAATATACCAAGTGCATACGTGCAGAGGACCAGCGTACGTGTATGCAACTTAGTGCAAATGCATGCAACGCTGCACTGCAGTCTACTTGGCGCTTGGTTTTAGAGCTGCCTTTCCACTTTCTCATACTCAAATGCTTTTTGCACATTGAAGCGGTCTGAATATAAAAATAAAAAAATGGTTGTTTTGCTATATGGGCATATTGCATGCAAGGATAATAAGGACTTTAGAAATTGCGCTGGTTTGGTGTACGACTTTTGACTGATTGACTTGTGAGATTACAAAATACAACATAACAAAAAATTAAAATACAAATATAAAAAAAATAAATAAAAATTGGAAATAAAGAATTGCATTCAATGCATTTGCAAGTAGCAAACAAAAAAGTTTTTATTTGCTATTTTTTTGTAATGCAACCGAAAAATTGGTATGAATTGCATAGCGCAGCCAATAATGCAAAATTGTAATGTCCTGCCTGGCAGTTTTAATGTTTGATTTAAAAAATTGCAATATATTGCACCCATACTTATTGTTGCTGTGCTAACTGATATGTGTTTGCTTCTCAACAAATCCTTCAGATACAATTTTTTTCTACTTTGGTGTTTTTATTTATTTTGTTTTTTTTACCCCATTTTTTGTGCATTATTTGCGAAGCTTTTTCTAAAAAGAAGAGGCTTAAATAGCCATTATCCTTACTCTTCCTACTGAAACTGCTACATTATGTATTGGCGCAACCGAAAAAGGAATAACTGCACTTATCTGCATAACTTAAGCTGAAAATGCATTTCGTTGCATTGTTTGTGCACTTCAGTGAAAATTTCATTTTTTACGTGCAATTTTGCTATTTAAACTCGATTGTTTGAGGAAATTTTGCAAAAATGCGGTGCATTGCAGTTTTTCAAATGCGATTTATATGTATACACTGCTGTACTAGATGCCAAGTCAAACTTCTTTTGGTGCAAATTTTTTTCAGTCTATTGCACGTAATTGCATTTCTTTTAAGCATGTATGTCTGGCTAGCCTTTATTTCCAAAAAAAAAAAATAAAAACTTTTAGTTGGGAGGTGGACTTCAAGGACTCTTGTCAATCTATAAAAGTATGTTTTTTCTATTTTATATTTTACTGATTATATTAAGTGATTTGGGTTTAAGTAATATTTAAGGTCGACAAGATTATTTTGAAAACATATTTATGTAATCCAATCAATCTGAACTTTTATTGACTATTATATATGTTATATATTATATATATGTTATATATGTTTCAGTTAAAATGTAATTTTCTTATATGAAAAACATTTGTCTTTCTTATTAATGACTGT